AAAAAAAAAAAAAAAAAAAGCAAACAAAACAAAACAAAACAAAAAAGAAAGAAAGAGAAAAGTAAGCAGATGGTGGGAGGCCTACGGGAAAGGCATCCACAGGATGGAAGTCTCAGACAGAAGAAAGCCAGACTGAGGCAGGAGGATTACAAACTGAAGGCCAGTTCAGGAAGTTGGAGGCTACCTTGGAGACTATGTCTTCAAGAACAAAAATAACAACAACTAAAACTTGGCTTGCTGGTGCACATCAGCCATGCCACCACTGAGGAGGTAGAGACAGTAAGATCAGGAGTTCAAGGCTATCCTCTGCTACACAGAGAGTCTGGGCTAGCCTGGGCTACATGAAACTCTGCCTCAAAAACTTAAAGCCAGCAAGATGGGATGGTGTATGTTTTTTGTTTGTTTGTTTTGTTTTTCGAGACAGAGTTTGGTGCCTGTCCTGGATCTCGCTCTGTAGACCAGGCTGGCCTCGAACTCACAGAGATCCTCCTGCCTCTGCCTCTGAGTGCTGGGATAAAAGGCAACTGGCCATCCTGGTCTGCTTCCTCGAGGGAGCTGTTAGAGGCCAATCGGATGACCTTGGCTTCTTAGACGATAAATCAAGCCACCCAAGAGAAGTGAGGTGTTATCTTTAAGAGAGGCTTTCTCTCCAGGGTAGAGGACCGCGTCATCCTCAGGCAGGGTAACGTGGAGGACCAGGACAGTGAGCTCTGTATCCTGCCAGGTGGAAGGTGGGTGGCCGCCACCAGAGCGATGGTGCGAACAGCTCTTCTCCAGTGTGGTGCCCGTGCTGCTTGGGGGCTCCGAGGAGGAGCCTGGGGGTCGACAGCTCCTGGACCTCGACTGCTTCCTGTCGGATATATCCGATACACTCTTCACCATGACACAGCCCAGCCCCTCATCCCTTCAGCTGCCCCCAGAAGACGGTGAGGAGAGGAAGGGGGTGTGGGGGGGGAGGGGCTGAGCCATCTCCCATGCCGGCAGCTTCCAACCTCACCCTTGTCCCTTCAGCTTATGTTGGCAATGCTGACATGATCCAGCCAGACCTGACGCCGCTGCAGCCCAGCCTGGATGACTTCATGGAGATATCAGGTGGGACAGGTCCTTCCCCAGGAGGCAGGATGGACCAAAAGGGTCAGTTTAAGAAAGAAATTCTGGGAGACTATAAGGCTTTTGCAGTGGGAGAATAAACGGTATTAAAATGTGTGTGTGTGTGTGTGTGTGTGTGTGTGTGGTGTTAGGATTAGAACCCAAGACCTTGTACCTACTAGGCAGGTGCTCTACCACTGAGCCACACCCCAGCCCCTCACTGGGGGATTCTAGGCAGGACTCTACCACTGAGCCACACCCCAGCCCCTCACTGGGGGACTCTAGGCAGGGGCTCTACCACTGAGCCACACCCCAGCCCCTCACTGGGGGATTCTAGGCAGGGGCTCTACCACTT